GAACAGCAGAAGCTGAAGAGGTGAGGCAGAGCAGTGATGTGAGACAAATTTGCCTCTGGGCAGCTCTTGTCTTGTACAGTACTATCTGTAGGAATTCAGATGCACAGTTTCAGCTGAGCTGGGGTGAGAGGAGGGGAAGGCAAGGCAGCCCAAGCCCAATTCAAAACTAAAATCATCAGAGCAGTGATGACTTTGTACTAGTGCTATCTGGTGTACGGGGTCCTTTTCAAGAGAAAAAGTATGAGAAGATACTTTTCATATCACCAGATATGAAAAGTACCTGCCCGGTCCGTCTTGGTTGTTTTCCTTTAGAAGATCCATTAGAGCAGTCAGCCTCTCCATCCTTTCCTAAATGCCAGCCCCACTCTTCACAATGCTGAGGTCCTGACACGATCCCCACCGCTTCCCTTCTGAACACAAACAGCAGAAAGCATGAGAAGGATTTCACATCGCCTCAAAAGCACCATGAAGGGAAAAGGAGCTCATGCTGATCAGCACTGTGCCACAGGGGTCACAGCTGGTGTTGCAGTGCCAGCAGTCAAAGGGGACCTCACTGGGTGCTGCCCAAGGCCCACCTTGTCTCCTCACCACCCGTGCCCTGCCAGCCCCAGCACATAGGACACAAGTGCCTGAATTGCCAGCCATTAGGCACAGGGTTATGGCCAAGGAATGGCGTAAGGACCAGGCAATGGGAGAGCCCTGGCAGGGGGCATAGCTGAGGGCCTTACACTTCAGTGCAGCAACATCACAGGTAATGCAACCCCCAGCAGGGTCCCTGTGCCGTGGTATTGACAAAAGGGCACCTGAGCCCAGCAGTCCCTCCAGAGGGGAGAAACCTGCTGCCATGCCAGAGCTTCCCACGGGACAGAACTGTTCTCTCAGGGTAGCAGCAGGTCCAAGCAGGACCGCCATCCCCCACTTCCAGTAAATAGGCAAATGCTCATTCCTCTTTGAGAAGCTGTAAACTCTGAAGCCTAATGATTAACACTCATAGGGTAACGATTACTGTACCGTCAAATGTTCTAGGGCAGGCTGTTCTTGTCCTCTGTGGCTGGACAAGCAGTTGTGGTGGGGTTACCAGGCCCCGGAGAGGTGGGTGCCAGCCGGTTAGACAGAGCTTCGCATTCCTTTCCCCCTGCTCTGCACCACAGCCAGGGACAGGTTCATGCAGCTGTCAGAACAGTTTATAGCAGCCTTTGCATCCACTCTGTACCTTGCCACTTTGTCACAAGCCTTTGAGGTCTGCTATTACCATCTGGAAAACTAGAAATGCCCCTTTTGTTTGCTCCAGGGTTTGTTCTCGCCTCAGGGCTAACCCTAGCTTCACCACAGCAAACTGGGACAGAGTATGGCCTCTGTCCTAGGAAACTGGATTGCCTGCCCAAACATGCTAGACAGGCATTGCATCCACAACCAAAGGAAGACAAAGAACATATTTCTCCCTCCTCACTACCCACAACCTCAGTGGTCCAATCCCCTGACACATACAGCTTTCTGCGAAGACCCTAGATCCCGGCCCTTTTGCTTTCCCATTTGGAGATTATTCACAGGGGTGCATGGTTATTTAACACAGGAAATTTAATGGGAAAGACCTTGATTATAAAAAAGCACAACCCTAAAACATGCAGGAACAAAACTGGCTTTGTCTTAGTGCCGGAATACATTGCTCTGGGTGTATTTAAGTCCCTGCACACTCATATGCAACCACACACAGCATGGGCATGCTGTCCGTGGCTACGTATGAACCCACTCATAGGAAAACAGTGCTGTTTCACAGCCCATACTTCACATGAAGTCTAAGGTCCCTAATACTCCAAGAAAGTATAGCAGAGGGGTGGTAAAGCTGGCTTTGGGGCTGGAGGTATTGATTCTCAGCTGCTGGGGAAGCCACAGAGTGAAAAGAATTGGGAAGTCTCATTAGCAAGAAAGCCAGAAGGAACAAGATTGATGCCCTTATAAGACAGCCTCAGTACTTGCAGGAAGACAATTTAAAAACAGAGGATTTTAATGTGAAGGAAGACATATCAAGAGGAAAAAACAGCCTAACAGCTCCTTTTGGTCAAGCCCCATCTGATGATGAAATTAGATAAAGCCAGGGACAAAACACTGATAAACAGGAGCACTCTCTTAGACAAAACAGAAGCGCTGCCACAGGATGGACTCATCCCTGAATTTACCATATGATGCACAGAGAAGGCAAAAGCTGGGAGCTCCCTGGCAGGTTATCGTGTGTGTGAGTAGCTGAGCCTTGTTTGTCATCTCCCCTCTCCACCAGGTTCCTGTTTGCCTCTCTGGTGTGTGTCAGGAGAAATTCCTCATAGGCACAGGAGCAGGATGGCTGGGGCAGGGACTCTGCCAAACAAACATGCAAAACACCCTCAGAAGCACAGACAGGACACTTAGCCTCCTGTCAGCTCTCATGGGGCATTTCAGTTTTCCTCCTGGTGAAGGAGATTCCCTTGTGTAAGTCCCTTCAGCAGTGCTAACTAAGCTTAGGATTCATTTGTTAACTTCTATCCAGTGGGCAGCCCCCAGCCCTTGTTGTCAGCCTGGCTGGGGCTGTAATACAAAGGCAGCAGCTGATAGAATCCTCTTTTGCTAGTCAGTGCTCAGAAGACAACCAACAGAAGCGAGCATCTACCTTGTCCCAGCAAGCAATAAGACAAAACCCTTGAACATCTGCAGCTCAGCCTGGAAAAAGAAGAAATCACACTTACCTGAATGGGTCAGACACAGCACAAAGAGCGCTAGGCAAAGCATGGGCACCACCGTGGCTTTTCCTTTAAATCTGATCTTTCCTTTTCATAAGCAAATCCGGCTCATCTTAGTAGGGGAATAGAATAATCTGGCTAGAAATCATCAAGGCGGACAATTGAGTCTGCAAGGCAAGACAGCACCTTTCAGAGCCTTATCTTGCCTCATTATGACGCTCTGTAAATCACACTTCATTGATTTTCAGTCAGCTGTCACATCCTGTAAGCCTAAAACAAGGCTCTGGGTCCTAAATTCTGATTTGTTTGTGGCAGTATTTGGGTTACTACAGGCACTGCAGGCTAGGAGTAGAAGTGAGGCAAGGTTTTTAAGGAGGGGAAGTGTCTCTTATTATGCTGCCAGTTACAGCTGGAGAAAAAAAGAGGCTGCAGGTCAGACCCAGAGATAGATCATGTGCCCGAAAGACTGTTTCTTCCAGCTGTATCACTTGGTCTAATAGCCTCCCTACAGACCTAATTGAACTTACTCATTTTTCATACTGCACTTGCTGGTTTATAGCTATAAAATAGGGGGTAAACCTAACTAAGATACAGGTGGGAAAACAGGGTTGATTTCTAAATGTGTATCTCTTCACTCATACGCAAAAACACTAGGACAACAGCACAGAAATGCTTGCACAGTACTACCTTACATTACTTAACAGAGTATGATGTCCCAGGACCTTGTGTTTAGCAATGAGAGTGATGGGACCTTTGGTTACTTAGCAAGTTCCTCTGTACGTGTCACTCCTGCCAGTGACACATCAGACAGGGGTCCTTTCAGAAACCACCAGGAATCTCTGAAATCAAAAGGGACATGGGTTCCTCTTTCCCGATCCCCCTGACACTCCTTTACCAAGGGATCTCAGGATCTTCTCTGTTTTCTTCCCGAATGGAAGTCACTTTGTCATCTCTCTCTGAAGAGGAGATTTCCTTCTCAACTTTTGAGTTCAAGAAAGAGTGGTGCAAAATTCTTCTAGTCTGCGCCCAGACCTGAAACACTTTCTGCTTTGATTTATTTTTTCTGGTTATTTGCTTGCTGACTTCTAGATGGAAAGCCTGTTCTTTTCAGCAACAGCTGGGCCCGTTCTGTGCAGTGGCCCAGATTTTGGTACAGTCATGAGCTGTGTGATTCAGATTTGCCTTATCTAAGTTCCCCACAGAGGACTGATAACTGGCAGCTGCAACTTTATCAGATAATTCAGCTTCCTGTAACAAAAAAGATGTTTCTGTGTGGTTCAAAGTCACATTGACGTTATCAGTGACCTTCTTGTAGTGTCCTCCCACCTTATTTGCGTTGCAGTGGGCTTGCAGCCTGCTTCCTCCAAAGCTCTTCCTCCAGCCTCTCTTCCTCCAAAGCTGCAGCTGAGTTTGCCTATTCTGCTTATGTACTACACATAGGGAATCTGCAAGAGTCCTCCCTAGCTCCTCATCTCTGCAGGGCTGGAGGAGCAGCTGCCCTTCTCTGCACAGTTCCTCATCCCTGCTGCAGAAAACAACTCAAAACCAACAGTACTATCGACAGACTCCCGAACAAAGTGTCTTCTTACCACCAGCTGCTTTCAAGTACCAGACTGCTCGGCTTACCCATTAGATACAGACCAGATGTAAGTACACGACCTGTCAAAGTCCTTTTTTTATGCTGGCGTTAAAACAACAGCGAACATTTGGCTGGGGTGTTGTGGACAGACAGCACCACAACCCATCAGAATGTGGAGCATGGGATAACTCCATTATTCGTCTGATGTAAATTTTTCTGCAACAAAGCTCCCCTTTTAAAATGCTCTGTGTAGGCTACCCTATGTATTCCAGCATGTTTTGAGTCCCATACAGGGCTCAGCACCCTCAGACATCACCCATCATCTTTGCTGAATCACAGCTTCATGACTGTGTGCAAGTCCCAGCCTGTGCCCATCAACACCTCTGTAATCACTGCCTGAGATCGCACCCAGGCATTGCTCTGTTAGACAATCCTGAATCTCGGACTGCAGAGAAACTTCTTTTCATAAGGCTTTAACCTGCTGCCTTGAGGTACTAGTAACCTACAGGAGCAGGCTTTTTGCTACTACATGGTAGCTGCTTGGAAGGAAATATGATATATTCTTGCTTTACCATTGCCTCCACCCTCTGCCCAGATTATGACAAGAGGTAAGAACCTACCGCGTGCCTGGTCTTTGACATCCAGAGTTATCCATCAACCAGAGGAGGGTACTGGAGAAATAAACTCTTGTTTGCTAATAATGCTTTCTGTTTACAGGCCTTTATTCAGCCATGCTCCTCAACGTTTTGGGAAGGCAGGTACACACAGACACTCTGTTTTACCAGACATACCATGGATGACTGGGAGCACCCACCTTGAGACAGCAAATGAATTCCTGGGTAAAACTTGAATCTTCTCTGTTGAGAACCTTCCTTTGATTTTCCATGGGTTTTGTGTGTTTGTAACTGATGTGAGGCTGCAATTCTAGGCTGAAAAGAGCCAAGAGCTGCTTGAGCACAAGCAATGCTGGAACCCTCTGGGCAGCTCAAACTTCTGGGGGAAAACCAAACAAATAAAACAGAGAAATCCACCTGTAAGCACAAATCCAAAAGTTTGAGCAATATAGTTAATGCTAGGAGCAACTGAAAACCAGAGTTTATGATGGAGAGTGCCAAGCCATGCTACCCAAAGGCATCATGCAGCTGACTGTGGAAAATGCATTTTGCAGGAAGAGGTGGTGGTGCTCCTGGCAACCAGCGTGTGGAGAACCCAGAATCAGGGGAGAACGACATTGGCAGGAGTGATGTGGATGGGAAATGCTGTGAACCAGAACCCGTTTCCAGAATCAAGAGCCTGAGAGGGGTTTGCAACTGCAGGGGGCAGAAAAGAGAGGCTGCAGAGGTGAGCCTGTTGCAGCAGCTATGAGGCAGGAGGCTGCTTCCAGGTGGATGGGCCCTTTCCCTCCCCAACCTGCCGCCTTGGTCCCTGGGGTTAGTATGCCAAGAGCCACTGGAGGCAAACCTCGGGTACCAGTATTTGGGATGGAGCCAGGCTCCCCAGAGCTCCCAGGAAAGGACTGAGTCACCTTTGTGCCATGTCACACAACACAGGGAGCCAGCAGGCAAACACCAGCCCTGCAGGGACAAGGGACAGCTTCTGGAGCAGAAGTGCTGTGGGAAAGGGCAGCACTGCTGGAGCCTCAGCTTTGCCCTGGTACTTCCCCACCGATCCTCTCTGCTGTCAGTCCTTGCTGGCAGTATACACCTCTCCCATCAGCAGCTTCCTAAAACACGCATCTTCTCCAGGCAAGGGATGTTTCTAGCCCAGCTTGGCAGCTTCTGCAGCACCAGACACTTTCACAGGCCAGAGGGCACAGAGTCTGCAGCCAGCTGTCCACCTGCCCATAGACCCTGAAGCCTCTCTGCTCTCCTCCGGCTCCCTGTCCCCACCACGCACCTCCTTGCTGTCACCTCTCTTGGCTTGCTCCACCAAGCACAGCTCAATTCCATCTCTCCCTCTGCCATTTGCCCTCCATGCTCCTTTATCTCACAGGGAGCTGCACCGCATCCCACTGTCCTTCCTCTCCCCCGCCATGCCCCAGCACAGCCGCCACTGTCTTCCTCCTCATTTTTGACCTTTTCTCACACAAAGAGAAGGCCCTTTCTGCTTCTCCTAGCCTTTTCCCTTCCCAGTCCCCACTGTGGACGTTTCACTGCCTTGCATCCCGTGCTGTTCCAGCTCCCCCGCCTGGCAGGACCCTGGTAGTGCAGGAGTGCCCAGGGCCCTGCTGTGGTGACGTCTGTGGCTATAAAGGATCCGTCGGACTAGTTTGGACTGCGATGATCACGGCATGCTGTGTGCGCTTTACCTGGGACCCTTGAGGGAGGCTGCCGGAATGGAACTCACTTTCAAGGTACACCCAGACAGTTGCTCCAGTGGTGACCAGGCTCTGCAAGTACAGGGCAAGGTTTTGCAGAACAAGGGCCGTTCCGATTCTGGGTTTGTTGGCGTCTTCCTACCATCATGGACTCTTGCCTGTCCTCCTTTCCATTTCCACCACATTTACATGAATGCGGACTTGAGACAGCTTTGAGCCCCCATGCTTTCTGACCGTGTACAGTCCATGCGACTGCCTGCCGCGCACTGCCCTCTAAAAGCCTTCCACTGCTGCATTGGTGCTGGAGACACGCAGGGAGACAGGCCTTGTGGAGGTGCTCAGGCCCTTCATTACTGTATGCACGATAATCTTTCTCAGAGATGGTGCACTGCCCTCTGCATTAGAGTCTTTGTTTTCCTTTCTCAGTTCTAACTTCACAGTGAGGACTTGTCCAGGATGTGGCACTGTGTCTTGGGGCTCTGTGGTCCACTCCTGCATTTTAGTAACACTAGCTAACTCTGAAATTTGGTAATTCTTACAACTGTTTAGTGTGAATTGATAACTGTAAATGAAGATCTGGCTCAGCTCTGCTATTTTCTCAGCTTGTCTTTTCATTTTATCAGGCTTACATCTGCTTTGGTAAGCTCTCCTCGCAGCCGAAATTTTATCTGCAGCATCATGAACTTGCTGTTGAGATGACAAGGCTTGAAAGACTTCAGGAGTAAGCAAACTGTTAGCAAGGGTCAAGACATTACAGGGCATGACAGAAACCTCTGCTTTGAAGGTAATGGCTCCAGGAGTGACAGAAGTGCCTGGTTCATGTCTATCTCTGCATTGACCTCTCAGCCTCTCATTTTCAGGGGTAATGACTGGTGACTGGGAGCCCTTAGCCCAACACACATAGCCCTCCATGACAAGAGGGAGAACCGTTGTCTTTTTTTCTGTTTCCTCGTTTACTATAAGCTTACTGTATGCAGGGCAATAGTGAAACCCAAAGGGCATTTCCTGCCGTGTCCTGTAGCCTCGATAAGCTGCCTGAATCCTGGCAGCAGCTTTGTTAATTTTGTCCACTTCTCTTCGGCTGCAATATCCCCGCCACACAGCCTTGATGATGGTAGCTGACAGAGTTTGGTTTTGGAGCCAATCTGTCTGGTGTGGGAGGGCAGGAGACACCCTTGGAGATACCATAGCAAAATCCAGTGCTTTGTCAGAACCTGGATGAGGTTCTGACCTGAGATTCCTGCCTGCATTTGCAGGCATTTGCTCTTTGTTATCTTTTCCTGAGCTAACAGAAGTGGCTGCTTTGTAGGTCCACATCATCCACCCACAATTCACAAGAAGGCTTCTTTTTAGCTTTAGAAAGATATCATGACACAGATAATAATTCTCTAGTGTCCAAAAGATGACAACATAATACATTTGCTAGGAATGGTTGGAGGTTCATATTCTTTTGTCTCTTTCTTCAATACTGGATGTTGTTCTCGTGCTTGTGGCTTTGTTCATGATGTTTCAATAAAAAGAAATGCAGTTGTTGTCCATTTTCTTCTGCTGCACTATGCCTCTTGCTGCTTGCTTGGATTACAGAAAAGCAGTTATTTCTGCAGTTAACTAGTTCTCCATCATGTGCATTTTCAACATGTGTATTAGGACTCACATTTCTGTGGAAAAAAGATTGTATATTATATACTCAAATCTGCAAGCACACAATATCCTTAGCAGATTGTGCTTCATGAACACAGCCCTCATACTTGATTTCTTGTACATCAGGAGTTGTTCTGCCATTTTGGAGAGGGCTTTTTTGAAAGTTACTCTTTTAACAGAAAATGCAGCAGCATGGCCAATGATCTCAGCCACATTCAGCCCCACAAAACTCAGGGGCTGAGAAAGATAGCCCCTCAACATGGGCCACTGAACTACAAGACAGATGCCTTCACCTTCATCTTTAGCTTTCAGAAAGAAATTGGAAAGGTCATGAGTAAATAACAATAACAATTAAAACAAGTATCAAAGAATTGTTAATCCTTCCTTGAGTACTGAAGCAGCCACTCTCTGGCTGATTCAGACTTATTCTGACCTCTTCCCTTCATCTTGAGAGCTCTTGAGAAACTTTCCCCCACCAACCATTCACCAGCAGCATGCCTCATCACCCCTTACGTGCCTCCTTCTGAAAAACAGAGCCAGGAATGTTAAAAAGCTCCCTGTTTGGCTGACAGATGATGTGAGTGCAGTACAGTCACCTTATTCAGGCACTGCTTTGCTCAGGCACTGAGATTTTACGTGCCTGGATTTCTAGGGGCCCACCAAGTAAGAAGATGCTCAAGTCTTGCAAAGAGAAAGTGAGCCAGCTCCACTTAGACGTATTTCATCTCCAAATGGCGGCCAGGTTTGCTGAAGTTAGGAGCCACTGGCAATGCCAAGCATCTTCAGCCACCCAGGATCCAAGCTGTTTAGTCCTCCTGTGAGCAAGACTCTTGATGTTTGAGATACACCCATCTTTTGCATGATAACCAAATGGCTGCAGCTCTTGCCCAGGAAGAAGCAGGTCTGGCGTGCTGGGTTGGACCCAGCATGCACTCATACTTTGGAGGCTGTGGCATGCCAAGAGCAAAATTCCCCCATTCAGCTACGTTACAGCCAATAATTTTACGAAGTGGGAATTTTAACAGAGCAGCCGGAACACTCACCTGAATGGGGCAGCTCCTACAAAATGCATGCACGTTACTTTGGATCATCCCCGGCTAAAACGTAGAAACTGCTCTGACAGCAGCCAGTTGGCAGACCAGACCTCATCTCTGTCACAGGAGTCACCCTAACCAGCATTGTAAAGCCAGCTTGTCTATGGAGAAACAGTTCTGGGGGAGTATGAAAGAGGTTCTTCATTTAACACCTCCACTAACTCACTTCAGTCCTTTTAATCACATCAGCCCACTGCTGTCCTGATGACTACCTTCTGATGGCTTGAGCTGGGATGTGAGCCTTGTAGCCAGAGATGCCTGCTTGCCATGTTAAGTCTGTATTGTTTGGGTTAATGTCAAATAATTTATAAATAACAATATTTTAAGATTAGATAGAAATGTTCACAGGTAGGAGCCAAAGAGACAGAATGTGTAGGACCATCATTTTGAACATCTGTGGCATATTTCAGACTTCCATGTTCACTGGCTTATGAACAGATAGTACTCCTAAATGTAGACCTAGAAACCATCTTTCACACACAATAACTTCTGGAACTCCTATCCATAATAACTTATTACATGAAGACATTACAGTCCTCCTGAATGTCTACATATGCGGTTAAAATTCAGTGTGGTCTACCTCCAGGTAGACCACAGGCTCATAACTGTGAAATACAGAATATGTACAAGCAAAATCCAATTATATTTCTGAGTGGCACAAATGAAACAATGGGTATTAGGTGGCTTGTTTGTTTGGGGTTTTTTTAGTGTTTTTCAGTGTTCAGACAAAATGTCTCAGGATAATAGATATAGAAGAAATAACGGACTTGGACCTGCATGCATAGTAGCCTATACATATATAACAGGATAGCTCTGAGTAATATCAATTAGTCTGGGACTATGGAAACGCTTGCTGTTAAACATCAGTGTAAAAAAAGCACAGTATATCAGATGCCCTCAGAGTTTCTGACTGAAGTCAGAGTATGTTTTTTATGTAACTTGCAATTTTGGGGCAACATATAATCATAACAGAAGGGATGTAAAGTAGAAGTGCTGCAATTATTTGGTGGCATATGTAACCTAATTATATGGTAGCATATGTAACAAATAGCTGTATCTTGAAACTGTGCAAATTCATTGAATAAAGCTTTTAACAGCAAACTAGAGAGGCTTTGAGATCCATAAAGCTATCTCTACAGGATGACATCTTTGAAATCTGCCATTTGCCTTGCTTCTGACAAGCCAGAGAAGCTAAATGCAAAACCGAAGTGTTTACAACTTAACCTCACGAGAAATGTAATTTGTGTTACTTACAAAAATATGTAGAAACTAGCTTTGCTTTTCCTACCATACCAGCATATCCTATTTCCTTTAACTGTTTTAATGGCCTCTCTGTGCCTATTCAGATAAATTAACCTAGTTACATCATAGAATCATAGAATGGTTTGGGTTAGAAAGGCCCTTAAAGCTCACCCAGTTCCAACCCCCTGCCATGAGCAGCGACACCTTCCACTAGACCAGGTTGCTCCAAGCCCAGTCCAACCTGGCCTTGAACACTGCCAGGGATGGGGAAGCCACAGCTTCTCTGGGCACCCTGTGCCAGTGTCTCACCATTCTCTCAGAGTGAAGAATTTCTTCTTATTATCTAATCTAAGTCTACCCTATTTCAGTTTCAAGCTGAAAAGGAGGAAGAGTGCCAGGAGACAACTTGCCACGATTCTTGTAGAGATTGTAGAATAAACACCATCCCCTCCAAACTTTATAAAGGCCTGAAAAGACCTTTTGGCTGCCTCAGACAGAATGAAACAAACTGTGCTGCTGTCACCCTTCCCCACATTATCACCTTGACCTCACTGGGGCAGCTCCTTATGTTCATTTCCAATACAGTGTACCTGCCTCAAACGGCATTTCAGTCAGCCAACAGACTTCGCTTCATAAGTGTTGCAGTATTTTGAGGCTCTCAGCAAGTGCAGGGAGCATAACACATTAACTCCACATGCATCAGATAATCAGCAAAATCAAAAGGAGTAAAAAAAAAAACAAACCCAAAGATGCAGGAATGCTTTTGAGTTTAATTCCTCAATGGGTAACGGACCATTTGTTGAGGAATGCTGCCAGATGCCTTATTCACTCAGGTAACTAACCATTTATCATTGCAGCTGGATTTTACCTTACCATGATCTCACTGCAGCACAGCAGATTGCCACCCTGCTGTGGAGCCCGTTGTGACATCATGAGCAAACATCAGCTGAAGCTTCAGGGCATTATGAGTTTGTTGCCAAGCTGTTTAGCCTTGTCTGAGATGATGACACTGCCCCAGTGCCCCCTCTTCTCCATAATGCTGATGGACTTTCCAACAGCACAACAATATCATTTTCAGCAACACAAAGAAGAAATCCCAGCCCCATGGGACTCAGCAAGGCTCTGCCCAGAATGTTGAGTCAAGCTTTCAGCATTTCAGCACAGGCAGGAGTTTTACTGCTCATTTAAGGGGAATAGAAGTTAAGCCAGTGGTGAAAGCATTGCTCAGAAAGCTCTCAGTGACCTGGAGAAATACTGAGCTCACTTTTAAACCTCTTACATATATCATTTTACATACAGGAATCAAGAAACAAGTAGAATAAAAGTAAAAACTCAGCCTGAATGCACAGAGAGTAAAATCCATTGAAATAATAACCAAACCTCCTCTTTCCAGAGGCCAAGCTCATCCATTAACCCGAAGCAGTCTTCAGTTGAGACATGCTTTTCATTCCAGTGCTATTTCTAACAACATTTTGCATTTTCATCTCTGTGGCACATTTTATAGCATCAAGCAGTAAAAAGTTACCAGACTACAAAAAAAGGTTACTGACCCATATTCCAAGTACTCCAGTGCTCAATTGCTGAAAGCCTCTGTAACTGAGCAGATTAGTGTATCATTGTTACCATGTATCAGATCAGAAAAGGCAAATGCAGTAAGAAACACAGACTTCTAGATTCTGAAAGTATTAATAGAAAAGATCAAATTAATCTTTGGTAAGAAAGAAGAGCAATGCTGCAGAAGAGCAAAGCAAATACGAAAAAGTCAGAGAAAATGAGATAACACTGAAGATTAGAATAGATTTCTAATGGGAAGAAAAGTTTTACTTCTACAGTCCTATCTCATCACAGAGATGGTGGGTTCAGTAAATAGCATGCTCACAAGACTTTGTGATCATCATACTGTGAAAACCAAGAAAGACCAATGTCATCTACCACATGTATAAGCTCATGATTTCTTCTGTGACTGAAGGAGTAAAAAGTGTTGAAGGACAATGTTTTTTGATCTGGTGTAGAGATCTAGCCTGTCAGGTAACACTGGGAACAACACAAGAAAGCACCATTTGTAGATATTAGTTTAATTTAGTTACATCTTATTTCTGAAGTTATATACATGTCAATTAACTGATATACCAGGTATATATTAAGCTGGTACATCACAAAGCAAAAAAATGTAAGTCATAACATTAGTAGACAGAAAAAGAGGTAAATGTCAATACCGATGGAAGAGCTGTTATCAACAGATTGATACTGTTAGATTAATTAAAACATCATCATAACCTTGCTTGAACATTTGAGTATAAAGGATATTACATACATACATATCTATTTAGTTATATGAAAAGTTGCCATCAGGTAATGTTAGCTGATGGCAATAACAAAGAAAGATAACTCAAATGATACTATGACAGTGGTTTATGTGTGTGTATTTTAAATAGATTACTTCCAAATAACTAGAGTTCCTCGAGCTGAAATAGCCACATGCACATTCACCTGGGGGGCATAGACATGTTTCCCATTACCCATAACCAGGAGATTTCCATGCTGTAGTACCTGTAGCACAGAAATTGCTAGTTCTTCGCCACGC